GTGGGTAACGAGTTTCCGCTTTCGGTAAGCTTTGGCTCACATAGAAAACGGGCTTCTGCTCTCCCCGCTCCTCTCTGATCAATATCCCACTCACCGCGGTCATTGACACAGCGATGTATAGAAACAATGGCTCTCCTTCGACTGGCTTTGCGAGAACTGGAGGGTTTGCTAAATAAACCTTCAATTCGTGGAACGTCTTCTCGCACCGATCATCCCACTCAAAATTCTTGTTGCCTCTAAGAGTATTGTAGAAAGGCAGGCATTTATTGATTAATCTCGAAACGAACCGGTTGAGGGCTGCTACACGTCCCGTTAATCTTTGGACTTCTCCCTTGTCCTCGGTGACGCCATTTCTATCAATGCGTTGATCTACTTTGGGTTTGCCTCGATACCTTGGTGGGTCACAGGATACCCGATGAATTTGCCGGATGTAACTGCGAATCGACACTTAGCAGGGTTGAGTTTCATATTATGCCGTTTCAACTGATCGAAACAGTCTCGCAAATGTTTCACATAGTCCTTTTCTTTCGAGGGACGTGACCAGCATGTCGTCTATGTAAACTTTCATCGTCTTGCCGAGCTGCTCTGAAAACATTTTGTTGACGAGCCTCTGATAAGTCGGACCTGCGTTCTTGAGACCAAATGGCATCACTTTCTAGCAGTATATTCTCCGATCCGTTATGAATGCCGTTTTCTCCCTATTGTTAAGGTTCATGAATATCTGATTGTACTCAGAAAAGGCATCCAGGAAAGTGAGCAACTTGTTTCTTGCCGTTGCCTCCACTAATCGATCGATATGAGGTAACAGGAAACTATCTTTCGGGCATGCCTTGTTGAGAATGGTAAAATCTATGCACACGCGCCATTTGCCGTTTTTCTTCTTTACCACTACAGGATTGGCGAGCCAATCAGGATACTTGGCCTCGACAATCGAGTCCACCTTTAACAACCTTTATACCTCGTCATTTACTGCCTTGGCTCGTTCTGAGCCTAGTTTTCTTCTCTTCTGCTTCACTGGTTTGAAAGTTGGATCCACGTTGATCTTGTGGCATCCTATGTCGATGCTATTACCGGCACTTCTTCCACTGTCCATGGAAATGTCCCAACGTTCTGTTTTAAGAAAGCAATGAGCTCCGCCTTGATTGCCTCGTCAAGTGTCGCTCCGATCTCCATGCATCGCTCTTGATGTACTTCGTTGATGTATACCGAGATCACAGAGTCGCCGCTCGGCGCGCTCATCTCCTCGAGCGCCTCGGCGATCTGTAATTGCTATAAGAGCTTGGCTAGCTTGTTCACGGGTTCTCGGTTCGTTTTCAGCTTTTTCCTGTTCTCGTCTGCGATTGAGTCTACGACGGGCTTTCTCATCTTGTGCTCAGCCAAAAAACACATGCGTGACTCCTTTTGGTTTCCCCATATTTTTTTGATTCCGCCGGATGTCAGGAATTTTACGCAGAGATGATATGTTGATGGAACGACTCGCATCGAGTTCATCCAAGGCGTTCCCATGATCACGTTGTAAATTGCCGGATGGTCGGCGACGGAAAACTCCACAATTTTCGTTACTCCTCCTGCTTGTACGGGGAGTCTGATCATCCCAATGGTCATTGTTGTTTCTCCCGAGATTGACTTCCATCCTCTTGAGGGTCTGAGCGTCCCAAATTGACTTCCATCCTCTTGATGGTCTCGCGGAAGATCACGTCTACCGAACTCCCCGTATCGATTAATACTCTAGCAATGTCATGATCTCCGATGGTGAGCTCGATCACAAGGAGATCGCTATGAGGAGCGTCAATTCCCACCATTTTGTTTTCTGAAAATGAGATCGTCGTGGCAGGAAAACTCGGAGGCTCAGCCCAGTAAACGCTTGCGTCGGCTCTCCGATGGAAAGCTTTTATCGATGACATGGTGGCGAGGCAGTATTCCGATCCGCCCATTATCATGTTGATCATTTTTCTGGGGCCATCTCGTGGGTCCTTGTTGTTCCTCCTTCCTTGCTTCTGAACATCACCTCGGTGGTCTTGCTCTCGGTTCAGGGGATTAGCTCCATCTTCATGTTTCTCGTCTTCGAGATCTTTGGCAGTTATGGTTTCCTCGGGCTCCCCTACTCGCTTTGCGGCAAGTCTAGCGGCCAAGAAGCGGTAATACGTAAGTTGAGTTCATGTAACAATGGTGATGCTCGCAAAACGCTTTTTCGTCGTAAGTTCGAATATTCCGAGTCCACGTGTTCCACGGTCCTTTGCCTCGTTCTGGTCCCACTTGATAATCATGGGCTCCTTGTAGCCTCGGCCCTTCGTTCTGCTCCCAACAGACGGCGCCAAATTGTGTGAGTCGAAACTCGCACATTCAAAATTTGTTAAGGAAAAAGAGGGATCTAAAGCTTTTAAGTGAAAATCTCAAGAACAAGGATCGAAAAGTGGTTTTATTACTTAGGGTTTCTGCGATTACGTAAAGTCTACAAACCGCCTAGCTGAGATTCTCTCCCGAAATTCTTGGAAAATTTCCTTTTCTTTTGTGCTGCTGACGACTTCAATCTTTCTTAGGGTAAAATCCTTTGGACTTGTTCATCGGGCCTCCTCGACTATTTAGCTCGGCCTATCAACACTTTCGACTCTCCGACTCGGCCCATACTCTTCCTTGTTTATGGGTGGCTTCTCAGCTCAGGTACACGGGGAATCTTCCTTGTTTGGTTCAGCTCAGTTTTTCTTGTCCTTCGCGCGGTTTGGCTCGGTCCAACCGAGATCTTCCTCAATTTAGCTCGGTTTTGCCGAACCTTGATAACTAATGTTTTTAGGCTTTTAGTTGGGGGTTATCAATCACTTGTCTTTGTAATACAAGGGGTTATCAATCCAAATGTGTGGGTAGACACTAGGTCATGATGATAGTCTCTTAATCCAAGCAATATGATGAGTTTTGATTCAAACAAGTGATTAAATAAAGACTAAACAAGAATAATAAACTAGCAAATGATCTAAAAAAGAAGCTAGTAATAGCAAATGACAAGTGAATGAATATGAAATTATGGAAGCATGAGATTCTAGACATTATAGATGGCTAGAGTGCTTTGGGCTAAAACTAGAAATGCTAATGACACTAATGAAACATGATTTAAGTGATTTGAGATTAACCAAGCCTTAATTTTTCTCAAGCATCAAGACACAAATCAAGCCATTTCACATACCCAATCATCATTGGAGATCAAACAACAAGACAGCATTAAGAATCAATCGCAAGTGATCATTTATGCAAATAACAAACATCATCATGGCATTAATGCATAAACCTCTAATATAGCTCTTTCAAGAATTTCATCAAACACTTTTGGTGCATGAAAAACCCAGATTCTAGATCACAAGTGATGTGCAAGGATCTAGCATAGAGACCAGTGATAACACCGTATTTTGACCACTTTTATGGATCGTTTTAAAATACTTTTTCTATGTTTTTAATTGCTTTTAAGTACTTTATCACGTTTTTCTAGTATTTTTAGTTCCAAGACTCTTTTTAGGTAACTTAGGGAAAAGCTTAACAAAGTGGATAGAAGACCAGATTTCAGCTCAGAGTCAAACCGTCAGAAGTTCACCCCCGATTGAAGGCCCTCCCACCGTCAGATCCAGCTCAAATTTGGAGATATTAAAGATGGAAGTATCAGCTTTCCAGCACACTTTACAGCTTGGCAATCCAACGGTTCAATCAAAAGATATGCGAAGAGCAAGATGTCCCGTAAACCAGCCGGCAAGCGTTTCCACCCGCGGCCAACAGGCCATTCTCCGCGGTAACAAGCATCCCGACCGCAGCCAGCCGTCCATTCTCTGCGGTCACGCACTTCCGGACAGCGGCCAGCTAACTCCGACTCCGAAGGCCTATTTCTGAAGCCCATATCATTTTCCCAGCCTTGATTCCGGAACCCTAGACCCGAGAGATGTCTTGAGCACTATAAATACATGTTTTAGGAACCCTAATTCGTATGACCTCATATGCTCTTATTGTTTTAGAATATTTTTTAAGTTTTAGGTTTTAGGGAGAGAGAGATTTTTCTCTTGAACCCTTGTTCTTTCTTTTTCAATTTCGATTTCTGTACTACTTTTTAATACTATGTTTTTGATTTCGTTTATCATGTCTGAGTAGTTTTATTGTTGGGTCTAAGGGATTTTTGATGGGGATATATATGTTCGGTGAGGATTCCATTGGCTATTGAGCCGAATCTTAGAACTTTTTCTTCTGAATTCGTTTTTACTGCATGAGAGTAGCACTACAAGAAAAACGTACATTCTTAGCGCGGAAAATCTGCTATGATAGGTAATAGATAGCGAATTCACAAATGCTATGACCTCGGCAGCTATGGTAGATACAACCCATATTATAGCGTTTTTTCGTCTGCTATGAAAGGCTCCAATAAGATAGCACTATTTAGCTGTAATTATTTGTTTTATCATAACACTACTTTTGTGTTATGATTCTTCAGTTATGTGCTATAATATATAAGTATACAATAGCAAATAATTATTGCCATAATTTATGTTTTCATGACATTTACTTTTGTTATAATAACTAATTACATATCATAGTTTCACCGCTATGATAATATAATATAACGTTTTTTTTTTTTGCTATTATAGTTGCTTTTAAGGTTTTTTTTGTTGTGCTATTATATATATGTCATACTGCTATCTTATGAATGCTATCTTTAAATTTAAAATGAAACCATTTATAAAATCTGGAAACCAATCCAACAAACATAACATCATCATTCTGAATCCAACATACGAAACACATTCTAAATCCAACATCCAAAACACAACTCCGAATCTAACATACCAAATAGAAGTCTTATTTCAATCCAAAATACAGAACACAAGTCTTGCATATAACTTAAAGTAGCTGGACCAAAGTTTACTTCATTCCCTGCCATCATGGACATTGTCCTATATTAGTCTTGAACATGGAAAAACTGAAACACAATGATCACACCAATATAAACACTTACCTCAGTTTTAAAACAGTCAGTAGATGACCAACTGATCAATTGGCCATGCGATAGATGAACCAAGTGCATCTCTCATAAATTCAATCTCGTCTGATTGCCTCCAAACCGCTGCGTCATCTACCTTGACAGTATCAACCCAAACTCGCACAGCATTAGGTCCCAAGCGAACAAAGTGTACCTTCTGCTCTGGATCAGTTGAATGCACCCGTCCTTCAGCAACAACCCGCTTTCTTCCACTAATATCCATTAACTTACACTTCTGATTTTCCTTGATAGCTACTTTTTTACGCTGACAAGTTCACAATATAACCATAACCGTTTACTACAGGTATCAGACATAACCATATTCAAATTGACAACATATTAAAATTATTACCGGTGATCTTCGAAGAGGGGACCGTACAGATGGTTGAGTTTCCATCGCAGTAGAGTTTGGAACTTTCGTTGGATACTTCTGAGACGGTGCTGAGGATGTCTGCATATGAGATTTAGAACCTGTTGTCGTGGATATTTCAAACGCTGATGCTGATCTTCCATGTGCTGGTTGAGTATTTGATGCAGATTTCTGAGTAGAAGATATCCCACCTGATTCGCCTGGGTTGTTTTCGAAGACAACTTTGGTGACAGGCCATGCTACAAAGGAGTGTAAACTGTCTTCTATGTATGCGACATCCAGCGTAGGCCTCCATATAAATGTATTAGGCTCATTTAGCACATCAACAAAAACTTTTACAGCCTTTGGCCCGAGTGGAAGTCCATTCACCAAAGCTTTCGGATCTTGTGTGTGCCAACGGCCTTCAGCAACAACAACATCATCCGTAGACAAATCAATTATTTTGCATTTGTCCATAGAATTTGTTCTTGAGCCCTGTTAAACACATTAATAAAACACAGACTATTTAGGTTATTAAGAATCTGTCAAAACTCATTATTTCAATAACAAGTTATAACTTTACCAATGGTGCAATGTCTTCTTCTTCGACCCCCTGTTCCATGTTAACACACTTTGCGGCAGGCCATGCATTCATATGCCCAACAGCTTCTTCAATTGTGAACATCTGACTAGCAGGACTCCAAAGGAATGCTTCTGGTACCGTGGCAATGTCAACCAACACTTTAACATCAGAAGGACCTAAACGACTCTCATTCCCCAGATCATGCGGATCAGAAGATATAATACGTCCCTCAGCAACATTTGCATTATCACCAGCCCAGTCAATCAAGACACACTTTGGTTGTGCTTTTTTGTTCACACTCTATTAAAATTTGTAGTAGACAAAAAACAAGTTAGAATGTAAATTTGAAAGAAATCAATTGCAGCGATATGAATAACTTACTCTTGCAGCGGAGTTTTCACCAACTTCAGGTTCTTGTCTCTGCGACCTACCATAAGAAAATCAGAATTTCATCTATGTAATAATACACCAGCTTAATGTACACATAGAAAAGTGGATTACCTGTTTCTTAAGTATGGCTAGTTCATTTTGTAGCTCAATAACCTTTTGCTGGAGATTAAATTGGTTCTCTTCCATTTTTGCAATACACTTGTGCTGAACTTGGAAACAAGCTATTTTGGTCTTACTCATATTTCTCCCCATTGCCCTCATTCGACCAGGGTTATCAGGTCCTAACACTTGGCTAAGTGTATCTTGTCCTTCATTTGTTGCAACTGATGGATGACCAGACTCAACGATATCAGCTGCCTTTTGCTGCAAATATAGTCAGGCAAATTTTACAATTAGCAAACTGTACAGTCAATGCCAAATTCACGAGGTACATAATTTATAACTCACAATCTTCTCAGCTGCAGTCGTATTAACCGTTGTCCCATCTTTTTTAGTACGCGACTTCACCCACACCTTCAGTCTTGACACTTCAGAAGGATCTGAACTTTCCTTTTTCTAAGCCAAAAAAGAAATATCATTCAAAACACTAACATTTGATGACAATTAACAACAGAATAGTAGAATGCTTACCATATCTTCAGCTAGTCTAACCATCCCTTTTCGACTACAAGTGTGGGAAATCTGTTTGCGCCTTCTATCCTTATAGCTATCGCTCACAACCTAACACATTTTTATAAATATGTCATCTAATATCCCACAAAAAAGTAATTACTTCAAATTCATTACCTTAAATTCATTGCTAGTTTTGATCTTGACAAATTTAGGCCAATCAGCTGGGTTCACATTCTTAGGTCGCATATTCATCCTTTCTTGGTTAGTCTGAGCTTCCATAATATCCTTAACCAACTGTGACTTTGATGCCCTCCACTAACAGTCCATTTGTTTAAGCACCGCAGTCTTTTGGTACTCTTCATCTAGATCAAACCTCACCTGCAATCAATCACATTTACAACAGCATTTAAATCCATTACTTGAATCAACTATTAAGTCATAAGTAGCTTCCAAAGTTAAGAAACGGTAACCTGTTCAGATTTCCAGAGCACTGTCTTCATATCTTCACTGATTTTAGTCCAATTTTCACTTGTCACAGGAACATGTTCTCGTACCAATGGTCCGAGATACGATGACAATTTCACAGACCCTGGACCATACGGTTCTCCCATGCCAGTGAAGTCTACATGTACTCTGCTATTTGGATCCTTGGCGATGTCTTTCATCTTTGTTGGTCCTCACTGTCGCTTACGCTTAGGTTCAACTTCAACTTCTTCCATATTAACTCCATCCTGTTCTACAGGTTGCTCTTCTTCAAGTGGGTCCTCTAAACGGTTCTCTTCCCTATTGACTCCTTCCTCTTCTACAGTCTGATCTTCTTCACTGTTATCTTCTACAGGGAGCTCTTCTTCACGGTTCACTACAGTCTGCTCTTCTTCAAGGTTCTCCTCTGAATGCTGCTCTTCTTCACGGTTATCCTCTGAATGCTGCTCTTCTTCACGGTGCTCATCTGCATGCTTCTCTTCTTCTACAGGATGCTGCTCTTGAGGGTACACTGTACCGATGAATTCTGGCTCATCCTCAGCTTTGTTTTTCCTTTTTCTTCCTCCACGTTTATATTGCCGTTTCATGTTAACTCACCTGAAATGAAGGAAACTGAAATATTTTGAACACACACAATGACTTAATACCATACATAAATGCACACCAACAAACACAAATTCAAATCAAACAGTTAACAATCAAGCATATCAGACAGAGCAAAGAAAAACGAATGTAAAAATGAAGAACAAACTACATTTCAGACATATATGCCTTCACAATCAGTTCGGGCATTTTCAGATTCATCCATGTGTATATCCATGTCCACATTCGATGGCAACGGACCAATCTCTCCAATTCCATCATCCAGATCATTCTTATATCTTCTTGAAGGACCTCGCATAACAACATGCCAACTTGATTCAGCGTCTTCCCTTAGATATAACACCTGCTTTGCTTGCGATGCTAATATATATGGATCTCGTAAGAATGATACTTGACTCTGACTCATGTTCACTAGTGTAAAACCATCTTCTATCTTCACTTCATTACCCATTACTGCCCAGTTACACAGGAAGAGAGGAACATAAAAGACGTTGTAATCCAACAGTATGACGTCCACCACTCTGCCGTAGTATGAGACCAAATCAACTACTTGTGAAGTGTCTTTAGCACTAGCCCTACAGATTGCCGTAGCCTCATAATAGACCCCACTATTCTGATTTTTCCTATCAACTGACATTGTATGAAACCGTTGCCCATTTACTATGTAACCTGTATATGAACGTGCAATGCAACGTGGACCATATGCCAACCATTTCAGAATTTCTCCATGGCTGTCTGAATCAAGTGGTATCTACGAGAAATAATAAAAAAAAAATCAGACACATACAAACATAAACATGAAAGAACAACAGAAAATAATAGAGTTGATGTTACTTGCCTGCTGTTTTAACCAAGATGCAAACTTATCAGTATGCATCCTCCATAACATTGATGCATCACGTCGGCATCTTCCATTTGAGTCTTGTAGATGCTGAAGGTGCTCACTTGTACAAGATAAAATAAAGGTCTTCATTAGATACTTTATTATAAAATATATATGAGAAGAAAAAAAGAAATATATGTAACTTACTCGACATAAGGTTCCACTACAGCCATATTCTGGATGACAGCAAGATGGGCTATTTTCATATCCATTTCTGAAAGAGTAAATGAAGTCCCCGCAGATATTTGCCGACCCTCTAGTATAGAACTATTTTCATAATCAGTGTTTCTATCTAGCTTTTCGTGGACGTTTGTAGACTTTTTTAAGAATTCATTACAAAACTGTATGCATTCTTCAGCAAGATAACACTTAGCAATACACCCCCCAGGTCTTGCAGGGTTCCTCACAAAGTCTTTCAGAACTTTCATATACCTGTTCGAAGTTGGAAGATTTATAGGTTACCAATGAACAACCAATAAGACATCTAGGAAAAGATAAACAATGAACAAAAAAATACAGCAAACATACCTTTCGAAAGGGTACATCCATCTAAAATGGACTGGTCCACCTAACCTGGCTTCTCATCCTAGATGAACCGTCAAGTGCACCATGATATCAAAGAAACTTGGCAGAAAAAATCTTTCAAACATGCAGATCGTTACAACAATCTCAGCTTCCATTACCAAAATCTGCTCCCTATCAATAACTCATTGGCACAAGAGGTTGTAGAATGCACATAATCTTACAATTGCTAGCCTCGGACCTTTTGGTAACAAACCTTTAAGTGCAATAGGAAGGAGTTGTTGCATTAACACGTGGTAGTCGTGTGATTTTAGACCTGTTACCTTACAGTCCTCTATCGATACACCTCTGGCTATGTTTGAACAGTAGCCATCTGGTCCTTTGAAGTCAACAAGCCGAGTACAAAATATTTTCTTTTCTGCCTTTGACAAAGACCAAGGAGCTGGAGGCAGATATGTTCTTTTCCCTTGCGTCCTAGGGTGCAAATCTTTCCTAATACCAAGTACCTCCAAATCTTTACGGGCATTGAGACCATCCTTTGATTTCCCACAATGTAACAACGTAGAGACAGTACTTGCAGCCACATTCCTCTCTACATGCATTACATCTAAGTTATGCCTCACGGGAAGATCCTATAAAATAGACAGAATACATACAATAAATAAAACGAAAAGTAAACATACTTGATTGGATAAAAATTTGAAAATAAAATAGTATGCACATGACAACATACCTCCCAATACGGTAACTTGAAAAATATGGACCTTTTCTTCGATCGTGATAACTCATCCTCATCTAATTTGACTTCGTCTTCTTCATCCTCATCTGACTCACTTGAAAACTCATCATTATCAGATCCCAATCCAGTACACTCAGTCCTTTTCCTCTTGCGTGCAGATCGTTTCAGATTTCCAGTCATTTTTGAAGTTTTTGAGGTTTTTACTAATTTCATGACCACTTAAAATCCTTCCCTTTCTTCCTTTCTCAGATTT